GCTAAAACCACTGCCCTGTCTGTTCTTATCTTTTGAAGAATTCTTGGGATTAGCATGTAGCTGAGCACCAATTTAACAGACTTTTCTCTGCAGGTATTCCAAGAGTTACTCAGGATCAAGTAGGTTATCATAAAAAGAACAGCATAAGCAGTAAATAAAGTAATCCACAAATATCCCATCACCTTTCCCCAAGATGATAACTTACACCCATAAATTACATATCCCCTGATAACCCCGATCTGGGTGAGCAACATACTGAAAAATCACCAAGATCGGTTCAGGGGTTCGTGAATTTTCTGGAGGTCTTATTTTCACCGACCGCACACGAAGTGTCAGCCGAAGAAAGTTCAATGTGTTTTGGCCTTGCGGACAGTCTCCGTTCAGGAGGTGAAAAAGCACGAAATTGTTGAATATACTGGGCTCTGCCTGGGTTCTTATGATTCCCCTCGTTCACATGATTACTTTCATCAAACGCCGTTCCGTTCATGTTTTTTCCCCACGAACGGGTGGAAGTATGGAGGACTCTGTGGTGTTCGCGTGGTCGAGTGTCCGATTTGGGTTCCAGACACTCGACGACCAAACACCACTTTCTCGCTGCCACGTGTTCGTATGCTGAACGGCGGCCACCCTCAATTGTCAATTGAGGTAATGTGAAGAATGATAAGGGAGGTCAATTAGTGCCACGCTCCACTCCGGGGTGGCCTGGCTGTTCGGTATTTTGTTAATTTGTCGAATGGTACAACTTCAGATGATTCAAGTATATTTTTACTTTACAACCAGACGAATGACAACAGGTAGGGGTTTACTTGGTTCTTTTACTAGTGTATTGAACCATGGGGAATAGAATAAAATACTTCAATTAGGAGCAGGGACAGCCAACAATACAATGAGTAGCAACACACAGTCCGCTACACAGCATTATTGGAGGAAAGATGTATGCTAGGGAGAAATCCCATTGGAGTGACAGACCATCTATCCATTGAGGAGGATCTGTCCTGAACAGGGAGGCAAAATTGGGAACCTTGGTTTTCTCTCTTCTTGCCATAAGGTCTACGACAGGCATTCCAAATCTCTTTATCAGAACATTGAATATCCTTGGGTTTAGAGACCACTCTTTCTGATTCCAATTCCCTCTGCTGAGGTCATCGGTGATATTGTCTATGCCCTTTATGTGGACCACATAAATGTCTAAGTGAACCTGAGCCCTGCACATAATGTCGGCGCATAGCCCAAACAGACTTTCCACTCTGGTACCACCATGTCTGTTGATGTAAGAGACCACTGTGTTGTTGTCTGACCATATTCCTACGGGCCTCTATTCTATCCAAGATCTGAATCAGTGAAGGGCGTTTTTGTCTTCTGTGGACCAAGTACCTTGGAAAATTATTGAATTTAGATGAGCGCCCCAGCCCGAGTTTAATGCATCTGTGTGGATGACCACCCACATCCTTTCTTTCTGTCTAAAGGTCAGACCTACCAAAAGGATACAAAGTTTTCCAGCACTTTACCGAGCTTTCACCTGAGGAGATATCTGGAGATACAAATCTAAGTCTTCTTCTCTTTTTGACCAAGAAGAGAGGATTTCCCACTGAAGAGGCCTTATTTCTGATTTTGCCCATTTGACAGTGGGAATTGATGAGGTTAGATATCCCAGAACACTCAATGCCGGTCTTCTAGAGTAATCGCTTTTCTGCAAATCGGACACTTTTTTCCAGATTGTTTTTCTTTTGTCTGTAGTCAGATGTAGAGATAACGTTCTTGAGCATTTTTCGAATCCCAGGAATTCTATTTTTCTTGAAGGAAGTAGAATCTACTTCAAGTTCAGTATTCAACCATATTCCTGAAGCACTTGGATTGTGAACCGAACCTTTTCCAACAGCAAACTTCTGGAACTTGCAATAAGCAGCCAATCATCCAAGTGGCTGTTATGGGAGTAAGAACTTAAATATTCTTGGGGCTTATGACAAACCGAAAGGGATGGCTTTGAACTGGAAATGTAAAATCTATTTTCCCCTTTTTATTGCGAATCTAAGGAACCTTATTGAGGTAACTGCCATAGGGATATGAAGGTAAGCATCCCTGAGATCCATAAAATACCCTTTCCGAAGAATCAGAGTTACATAAGTAATAGTTTCCATTCTGAACCTTTGGTAAGGAAGAAACTCGTTCACATTTTTTAAATCTAGGATCGGCCAAAAGGAATGGTCTGGTTTCGAGATTAAGAAGAGTCTTGAGCAGACCCCTTGGAATTCCTTGGTCACCGGAACCTTTTTTATGACACTTTTTTTTAATAGCAGAACCGTTTCTTCAAACTGCTTCTGATTTTCGGGAGGATGGATTAAGAGAAATTGGTTTGGGCAGGTTTGAAAAATATGATCGGTACCCTCTTTTCACGAGATTTAGAATCCATGGATTGCTTGTAGTTTCTTCCCATCTTTTGTAGAAATGCTGGATTCTGCCTCCTACTCTCTTGGCATCAGAAATGCACACCCTTTTCA